CTTTACTTTGACAGAGTAATGTACTTTTTACCTTATTTATCTGTATGAAATTCCAACAGTTAATTTGAAAGTGTTTGTTTATATAATGTTTGTATTTTTAGGTCTTTAATACGGTGTTTCTACCTCTCCTTTGTAATTGCATGCGTTATTCTTGAAAACTAGGTAATAACTCACTGAACTGTTGCGTAATAGCCTTTTTATTATGGCCTGTATAAATGTATATTAAGGTAAAAATAAATACTGACACTAGAAGTGTTTCTATGGTAAAACCAGGTTTCTGTGTCTCTGTAATCAAAGGCCAATGGTGTTAACTTCAAAGAAAAAACCCCAGTCTGTACTTGGCCACTTAAACCAGTTGCTGAATGTTCCCCTCAGCAGTTGGACATGCCACGGGGGCAGGTTGGGGCAACCTGAGTGCCTTATCTCTGGCACAGTGTGTCCTGGAGTTTGTTCTCCCTTGCTTTAGGGAAACAATTCACCCTGGTTTGGTTTTTGGTTTTTTTTTTAATTTTTTAAAAAACTTGGATTTGAAAACAAATATGCTAAGTAGGTTCCTGGGTAACAGCTGTATGTTCTTTTAACAAGGTGCTTATTTGTTGCCTCTAGTAAAGAGAAGCTGTCTGGGCTGCCAAAACAGCATATACAGACCTAATTGACAAAAACTGGCAGTTAAGTTGCAATTTCTTTCCAAACTTTACCAAAACCAGTCTTTGTCCACCTTGTAGCCAATATCCTCTGTCCACAGTGCTGTGGTAGCTGGGGTGTGGCTGTTGTATTTCTTAGTTGTACTATCAAATTTTTCCCAATTTATTATTTAAAAACCCCTGCAGTTGTGACTGGCACGTAAAGAGGATGAGGAAGGAGTGAGCATGGAATGCTAATGATATGTCTGAGCACAAATCTCGGAACAAAGCAAAAGCCTTAATGCACAAGTCTAGGAGATAGGCCGCTTTTCCCAGGAACTCACTGTTTTTTGTTGGGTTTTTTTCCTCAGGATTCAAGCTCATTCTCCTTCCACTCTTGCCAGCAAGACTACAGCTGCACAAACAGGAGGAGAAGAAAAGGGCTATTCTTGTTTGCTGTTTTCAGGAGGAGGAGACCAATGTTCATGGCCTGTCTTTCTGCATAAACTCATTCCACAAAGATCCTGAAGCTGTCCTCTGTCTTCAGCTCTCTGCGCTGAACAGCAGGTGCTTGTTTTGACCAAATACTTTTTTTTTTCAGCCTTTAGAGAGATAGAACTTGAAAGGAGATACTTGATGTGCAGTTTTTCTAGTTCAGCACTCCAGCATCTGCTCAGGAGCACCATGTTCTGTACTCGTTCCATTCTCTCCATAGTGCATAATGTTGACTGAGGAATCTAAAACACATTTTGATTCTGACATTTGCTTTTTATAAGCAAGAAGTTGAAGTCTCAGCCCCTTCCTCTGATACAGACAACCAAATCTAGTTAATTTAACTTGCAGCTAGGATACTACGCATTATTCTGAGAAGCATTTTTCAGTTGAGAGGTGTGAGCTGTTCCTGGGACTCACTAGGTTTTGCATACTTCTTGCTACTTTCTTGTACAGCGACGTCAAGGTATTGCCATCGTCACCTCTGGGTTCAGAGGCAGGAACTGTTGTGTCCCACTGGTGTCACAGCACTGTGCAGTGCACAGTCCAGCTGCACCAAAAAGGGAAGCTGTTTTTTTTGTTCAGAGCAAGTAAAGCTGGATGCTGCTGCTTTCAAAGCTTGTTGAGGCTTTGAAATTCAGATAGGCTGGCTTGTGACCAGACTTGTGACCTGCCTCCTTTTTGACTCCTGCTTCCTCTATTTTTTGGCCTGGTGTTTTTTAATTTATTTTTTTTTATCCTTTGACTTTTCTGTGTGCTCTGAACTCTGCTTGCTACTATCTTTTTTGACTGGTATGCCTTTAAGTCTTCAAGCAGATCTCTTTTTAGCCTGAGCTTCCCTGTCCAACCTCAGCCATAGCCCTGGCTGTGGCTTTTTAAAAAGTGCCCGCACAGCTCCTCCTTTCTGTAGATCAGTGAAGTGTATCTCAGTAACCCCTCTCTTGAGGTCTTCAAGTCAGCTGGAGCCCAGTCCAAGTCTTGGCACTGCTTCTTTGGACAAACACCTTTTCAATAGGCTTTTGTATGTGGCAGGCTCCCCCCTCCTCTTTGCCTGAAAGCAAACGAAGTGCCAGTGGTGCTGTTGAATCTTGTTGCGGTCTTTGTGCCAATCATTTTCATTGTGTCTTTGTGTTGCTTTCACATTTTCCATGGCCCTAGCTATGTCTACAATGCAGCCCACAGACCATGGCTCTGTATTACACAGTATCTTGTTCTTGCAAATGTGAGATCAGCCACAGCTTTCAAAACAAGTGATGCCATAAATGAACTGAGCTGCATTTATTCCTGAAGGTTCCTTAAAACCTCTTGTTACCAAAACCTGGTAAATTAAAAACTTTCTAACACTCAGTTTAGCATTAGAAAGCAGGAATTACTTTATCTGGGCCAGGGATCATTCCTCCTAATGCCCGAAAGACTAAGGCACGCTCGTTATATACACTAAAAGAAATATTCACGTAATTTCTGAGAAGTACCTGCCTATTTCCAGGAAATGCATGTGTTAATCTATTGCACAAGTGTACTGAAACTGGGGAAGGATCTCTGGGGTAATTTTTGATGTAAAGACCCTAACTCAGTTTACCCACATATGGTAAGTCCCAGTTTGGATCACTCTTTGGCACACAGCCTCACTTAGCTTCAAAGTTTATACCAAGGGGCCTGTTACAGTTTGGTTTGCTCCTTGACACTTATCTTGTCCGTTTAGCATGCAGACTCCCTTACCTTCAAAGTTTAGACAAAGATTATACCATCACACAAAGGTGCTTCTTGTTTGTATACTAACCAAATTGTTTTAAGTTTTCAGCATCACTCTCCCTGTTGGTAATTTTCTGTACCAGCTTTTATGACTGGGTGCTGTTTGGGCTTCTGCATCTGCTCTCTTCTTGTGCCACTGGCCGGACTGCGTGACTCTTAGAAAACACTCTGGAACTCGAGACTCAGTAGACATTTAGGTAGAAATTGAGGCTTGTCAGCCTAGTTAAAAACTTGAAGTTCTTTGAGCGCGACGTGCAAGTCAAAAAAAGATTTATTGATTAGCTGTGGTGTTCGGTGGACTCTTGAAACCAAACAGTGCACAGCTTATCTTCTAAACTAAAGTCGTCCTTCCCTAGGCTCTGCTGGATGCTTTTGGGAGCAGGGCAAGGAACAGCACAAAGCCATGCTCCCTGGGCAGGGCAGGAGCCTGTCTCGCTGCAGTGCCTGGCTATAACTGACCCCAAGAGGGGAGAGGGGAGTCTCCAGCTCAGCTTCTCAATAAAACCTCTCTTGCTGCTGTCAGTATAGCCCTGGGGATTAGAGCACACCCAGAGCTGCTCACCTCCCAGTTCCTCTGGAGTTCCGTTACTTTCCCATAAATAGTTCCCTCCTTTATTGTTTCTTAGTGACTGAATAAAAATAGAAAATATTGTCAGCTCCTAGGCGTGGGGAGCACGCTGCAGACCGTGTGTTTCACTGGGTGCTGTCTGGGGTATTCTTCCATCTCACTCCAGATCCCACGCTTCCCTGCGATCCACGTGTCTCGCCCAGCTGCTCCAGGGAAACTCAGCTGCTATTTTGCAATGCTTAAAACGCCCTCAGCCTTGTTTCCTGTCCGTAATTGGCTAAAAGATGTCCCAGACAAGGACCAAAAGGGACCGTTTCCCAGGATGCAGCATGCTGCTGCTCCCTCATTTCTGTAAATACAGAAGAGCCTTAAGCAGGGGCACAGGACCAACCTGCTGGGATGAACTGGGAGCTGAGATACTGCCCCTCCTGCGTGTGATGCTAAGCCCAGGGAGCACTGCTGCGGCATTAAAACCCTCGGCCTGAAGCGTGACAACTTCACAGGCTCTGGAGAATGGCCACTGTGAAAAAGGTAGGTAAATAACCACCTCCTTGCTCCTGCAGACAGCCCTGGGCGGGTGCGCTGCCTGCAGAGGATGCATTGCAGCACAACACTCCACACTGGGAGCTCAAAGACTTTTATGTTGATTGCAGCAGCATTAATTCCTTATCTAATTTTTTCTTGGACCTCCAGACAGCATGGTGCCTGGAGAGAGCTCCAATCTGCCCTACCCGCAAGGATGCTGCCAGGATCAAGGAGAGTATGTTTGCATCAGGTAATGCTCCTGCAAGGATTGTTCCTGCTTCCACCCATGTCTTCTGGAATGCAGACCCAGTTTTTTTTTCATATCCTGCAGTGCGAGGGCTCTGTCAAGCCCAGCCTGTTTTTCTTTCACGTGTTGCCTCCTGCATGCAAGTATTAGCAGTTGCTCTTGTCATTCCTCCTAGTGGTGGACTGTTTACTGCAGAGATTTGTGCAATAGCTTGTGAAACGTCCATGTGCAGGCTGAGCTGCAGCCTGTTGGCAAAGCCAGATGACCAAAACCGAGCTTTGTGTTTGAGGGGAGTCACAGCCGGCTGAGCTAAAGGGCACCCCCAGTCTTGGAAAAATACACTCATGAAACTTTGCAGGGAGCCTGTGTTCCACGTTAGCCCTGTCTCCTGGGCACGAGCACCCAGCTGCTGGTCCTGCGTGTGGCAGAGGTGTGTGGTGGGCAGGGATTTAGCTGGGCACAGATTCAGCTGAGGAGCTTTAGCAATAAACAGAGTGTGTCAGAAACAGTAGTGCATAACAACCTGGGAGTCCTTTTCAAATAATCCCCTTGTATTTCTTAGAACAAGTTGTGACAGGCCTATTTTTAACTGGAGTCAGCCCAGACTTGTCTCAGCTCCCTTCCCTGCTTTTCAGGGAGGGGGGGTGTTTCTCATGGGAATGCTGTATCAAGGTTAATTCCACTATCCTGTCCAGGCTATTCCTGTTGACTGCTTTGTCTCCCACAAACCACCACCTGCTTTTTCACCGCTTTGCTGGCCCCTTTTTCTTGACCGACTTGTCTCTCCCTCCCCCTGACGCAGGAGGCTGCTGGCAGCGCTCCCCTTCACCAGCACTTGGCCTCAGAAATGCTGCCCGCAGCTGAGGTGCTCGGTGAGTTCATGCAGCATTTGCTCTGCGGGGGAAAAAACCAACGGGTAAAGCTGTTGTGTGCCACTTACCCTCCTTAGATAAGGAACCCCCAGGGGGACTTTGCCCCCCCCCAAGCTTCTCACGCAGTGCGCTTCTCTGCCCCACGCCCGCCAGCATTTCACAATCTGCTGGGTCCCAGCCCCAGTTCGGCGGCGCTCCCGGGAGGGTTGGCAGCTTTCGCCACCAGCCGCCACTCCTGCAACGCAGCCCGCAGAGGCGGAGGCGCTGGGCGGAGGGAAGGAGCAGCGCTGCCGGCGGGAAGCAAGGTACCGCCGCCCCTTCC